TGGACAGGAAACACACTCCTAGATTTCAAATTCCTAGCTTCTCCATTTGATGAGTTGAAATTCCCAGACAAATATCCGACTATGCATACGCACACAAACCGAATTTTGGACAAGAAGCGTTTTGATCCGTTTTTGCTGCGCAAAGTGCACAAAAATGAATACTTCGTAGCGGAAACGAGCGTCAGTTCATTGAGCAACTCAAGATCTGTTATTGCACTTGTAGTTCGATAACCGCGGGTAGAATTGCAACGCAAAGTGTTTTAACATTATCTGTTAAACGCAGAAAACAGGTGCTATGTGAGCACTGACGTAGTCATCATCTTGGCGTGGCTTTTCACGGCTAATTTTTTGTCAATGCTGAAATGCTTCAAAGCGGATGTGAGCAGTTCCAACAGAGACGTGCTGATGATCTAAATGCTGCGAGCCAGGCTGATCTTCATAACTCTTACTTGGCCATCGTATCATCGTATGCTTCAACAGATTTTCTAAGCGCTTGTTCGTCGCTTCCTTGGCGAATTTCCTGCAGCAATATTACTCAGTGAAGTTTGTGACAAGTCAATGGCGGTAGGGACCCCTAAGCTTCTCCAGTTAGACCCCCACGAAATACGCAGAATAAGGGAATGTTTCATGCAATTTTCATCTACCTGCTGTTTGTACTACTACCCTTGAGTACTTCTTTCTTTGCTAGCAGATGAAAAAGTGCTGCCTATATCACGAATTTTTAAAGTTTCGTACAAAACTACTTCTTGTGCAGCGCTATAGTGTTGCCACGGAAAGCAAAAACGCATATTGCCGAGAGATCGTCTGCGTGTGTATGCGTGTGCGTTCGGAAGCGAGTGAACTTGATCAGTCACTTTTATCTTAGCAACCAGGAAGGCTGGGAGGCTGAAATTTTGGATATATGTTCCAATCTCATGCGCCATCTTCCAGTTTTAAAATTTTCGCTCACACAAGCTTAAACCTCGCGTACTGACCCCGGAAAATATGTAAGATTTCTTCGGCGGGAAACGATTTCGTGAACCAGGCAAGGTGCAGTACTGAAACTTTGCAGGGATACTCTCTGTGCATGTACGAGCTAAGGATTTCAAATCTAGCTGTCGGGTGCGCTTGTGCAGCACGTACGATCACGTCCAAGTTTTCACTTGGCACTGTCTCAACTCGAAAACTAGTCAGAAAACAGTGGCTAAATTTTGTTGGCATGTTTATGGCCCATGTGGGAAATCACACACCTAAATTGAGTTCCGATTTTCACTTGCTCCACGACTTAAAAAATCCAGAAATATTTGTAGCGAAGTGGACATTTCATTTACCGGATAAGGTGCAAGACTGAAATTTCGCTGGGGTATTTAAATTTCATGCGTGGCCTTAATCCGGTTTGGAGGTGAAATTCCTCGCAGGTGTCTATAAGCAATACTCAACTTTACCGCAAACTTAGAAACGAATATAGCGGGTGACCGCTCGCATTCTCTCGCAACATCCAGTTCATTAACACATTTGGATTTTTTGGCGAACGACCGCTCTAGCAACATTTCCACTTTTTAGTGAAAAACTGAAATTTTTGCATTTTTCACTTTTCAAAAAGCGAGCATTTGCCGAAACCCAGGCTGGAACGCACCAGGCAAGCCGGTGCGATCATGCGCTTTCGCACCAGACTTTAAGTAATTAGATTAACTGCATGAGCGGTTGTTTTTTCACACCTACTTTGTGTACTTAATACCGTAAATCATCGTAAATTTTGCATAAAAGGAAATAAACAATTTCCGTTTAGCAGCCGTTTTTATGCGTTTTGCGTATATGTAAGTTGCAAAAACACATATTGGGAAGAGGCTGTGTGTGTGAGTGTGTGTGTGTGTGTTCGCACTTTTTGTTACCCACTTTCAACTCGAAAACCAGAAAAGCTAGAGGGCTGAAACTTTGGGGATATGTGCCCATACCATGCGCGACCCTCCCGTATTAATTTCATCCCCTCGGACGCTTGAGTGCCGTGTACGGACGCTTTAAAAAAATATGCAAATTTTTTGGCGGAAAAGCGATCTCGGGAACTACGTGAGCTAAGGGGCCGAAACTTTGTAGGGATATTCCCTGTGCATGTACTAGCTAAAGATTTCAAATTCAGCCCCCAGGTATGCGTGGTACTCACGTAAAGGCGTGTGAAAGTTTTAGGAGGGAAATTGCTAACTCGGGTGCCAGGAAAGCTAGAAAGCTGAAATTTTGGGCGAAATGTTTCAACTGAAATATTTTAAATTCAGCTCCAAGCTATGCATGCTATTCGCGAAAGGGTATATGAAAGTTTCTGCAGGGAAATTACTAACTCGGCAACCAGAAGGGCTGGAAAGCTGGAATTTCAGGCAGATGTTTCCTGTCCACGTGCAATTTAAAAGTATCAAATTCAGCTTTCCAAGCACGTGGAGTACCCAAGTACGGGTATGTGAAGGGTTTGGCGGGAAAATTGCTAATTCGGTAACCAGAAAAGCTGGAAAGCTGACATTTTGA